CTCACCTAGGGCGTCGCGACGGCTTTCCCGTTTGGCCTGCACAATGCTGCGTGGACCACTGGCCACCTCATGGCACAACACGTCCACTCACCCCTTGCGAACAAGGAGTTCGTAGGGATGACAGAGTATGTCACGAAGTCATTCCACGAGCTTCTCGCGGGAGACTTAGAGTCGTTCTCTGACTTTGACTCTAGCAGCGGGAGTTACCACCCCTCGTGGGAATGCTTCATGGCGGAGACCCCCGAGGGGCATGTTGAGAACATCCATGAGGGAGGGCCTGACCCACCACGCAACAATGATGACAACGACAAAGGCATGGGGGTTCTTCAACACATGCGGGGGGAACAACTATGAGCATGACTCCAGGAGCTCGAGGAGGTGTGGCTCAAACTCGAGCAAGAACGTGTGGCACTCGAGCGGGAGATCACACGGTGAGGAGATGGCGGGCGCGCAAGTTCTAGGGCCCGTGAGGTGAACTAGAGGATCATCGAGGATGACGGGGGCCTCCTGCGTTTCGCCCGAGCGAGCCAAAACATAGCGGCCGTGGTAGCCTTGCTTCGAGGGCTCCCTAAGCCCACGACGCTCGAAGATCGTCGGGCCCACCGTGAGATTTGCACACTGGTCGAGCGTGTAGTGGCATAGCAAGTGGAGAGCTCGCTGTCCCGATGACGCGAGCTCGACGCCAGTTAGTGCGCACCCTCGGAGTGACCCAACAGGGACGCTTTCGTCCACCAGGTGCAGCACAATGATAGGTTGCGCTCCGCTATCCCGGTGCATGAGCATCTAGGCCTCCACCGTGACGCGCACAACACTTTGGACGCCCATAGGAGTGCCCGCTGCGGCGAGGGAGAGGCGGCCAGCCCTGGCTACCACCCTCATCACGGTGGACGCTATGACAGCGGCGAAGACCAGAGCCTGAGCGCTAGCCTCCTGGGGCCTTAGGCCTTTGGCCGACACATCCTCAATGCACCCTTCCCACCGCGATTCTGGCCACCGACCAATGTCCTGAAGTACTCTGGGGAAATGAACCCTAGGCTATGGATCGAGGACTATCAGCTTGCTTGCTAGGCCGGTGGCGCAGATAGTAATGATTTCATTATCCGCAATCTCCCTTGGATACCTGCCAGCACTGCAAGGGGCGACAAACATAAGTGACGATGAAATCCGATTAAAACAGAAAAAATAGAGGAGTCGACGCACCTCGGCGCCGTTGGACGGCAGATGCGTTTGGGGGACAAACCCCCTGGCCCTTACTCTGCCTCATCAGAACGAATCCATTTCAAGCGTGCCCCCTGCTCCTGGGTAGAGGGCCTTGCCCCTGATGGCTCCAAGGGCACATCGATGGAGCTGCCCGCCTCCACTGGCTCCTAGGGCGCAACGATGGAGCCACCCACCTCTGTTGGTTCCTGGGGGGCATCGACGAAAAGGCCCGCCTCCACCGGCTCCCTAGACGTGCCCTCCCCTCTGTGGAACGAGAAGGGTCCCGACACCTGCAAGGATGAACCGATGCTTGTTAGTGCATCCTCGTTTTCCGGGTTGTCCCACTCGATATCATCGGCTACCATTTCTTCTTCCTCCATCACCTCACTGTCATTGCCATCATCATCGCCATCATCGTTGTCGGTGTCCTCCCCTCGTTCCCATGCTCGTAGCTGCCGCTGCTTCTCTCTACTCTTGTCCTCCTTTGCCTTCCTCAGCCGCTCGCCCTCAGCACGATTTGCCACCCTCACGGCCAAATCCCTCGGCAGCGGCGTCGGGTGATCCATGAGGATGAGGTCCCTCGGCTAGTCCTGCCCCTCTCAAAGTTAGTCTCATAGGGTCAGGAAATGAACTGAAGGAGAGGCAAGAGAAAGGGAAACTTATGAAGACGATGTAGCCTGGTTCCAGCCACATCACGGGATGCCCCGGCATCGGGTACACGAAGTCAAGGACGACACCTATGTCATTCCATAGAGGCTCCATCGCCTCCTTGATGCGTTGCATGATCTCAGTGTTGGGTAGCATTCCCTCGGTGAGCGATGCTCTATCGAACGACGCCTCAGGCGCCATCGTGTATAGCGGCAGCGCACACGTCATCAATGGCGCCACCCTCCTCGCATGGTAAGCCCCGATGACGCCTGACCCTTTTAGTCCGTTCTCCTTCAGGATGTGGATGGCGGCGATGTGGTCTCGGATCCTCTTCTTGTCCTTCTCCGGGACACCCCACTTGCTCCACGGCTCTGAGGCTTCTTCGATCAGGCGCCTGGTGAACTTGGGCAAAGGGGCGGCAGCGTCGTTCTTGAGGTAGAACCACTGCGAGTGCCACCCCTTGTTGGCTGTCAAGAGCCGCATGAACGGGTACTCGTCGACCTGATTGTTCCGAAGCTGGATGCCGGCGCACCCCATCGGCATGTGTAGCTCCTGCTTGCCGCCCTTCTCCCTTTTCTTTTGGAGGTTGACGGCGAAGAAGTACCTCCACAAGTCAAAGTGAGCGCTGATCCCCAGGAATCCTTCGCACAGTGCGACAAATGCCACCATGTGTTGGATCCCATTGGGATTGAGATGCTGCAGCTCAATCTTGTAGAAGTGCAACAGCCCCCGGAGGAATTTGTGGACAGGGTCGCGAGCCCACGCTCATGGAAGTGGGCGAACGACACCACGTAGCCATTGGGCTACGATGGCGAATCCTCGTTGCCAGGCAGCAACCACTCCTCAGCTACGGTCCATGCATGGAGAAGACCGCGATGACCCTCCTTGCGCTGGAAGGTGATGTCGGAGCGGCACCACGGATCCATCAGAAGCGGGGGTGGATGAAGGCGAGCTCAATGACAGCGAGGATGCGGGGGCAAGGAACCCTAGCGTTGGTGGTGGCGGCGTAGCTACGGAGGTGAGGATGCAGGCGTGCGTATGAAACACGGAGGGCTAACCCTTTGGTTTTTATAGGGGTGATGGGTGCGAGAAAACCAACCGCCCACATAGATCTCTGCGCCCTCCATGACCTGTCACCCTGTCTCATTGCGGTGTGTGCACACGCAACCTCTGGCCCATCCCCTTAGAAAATGCACCGGACGTTTTGGCTTCCTGAACGGACCCGTCGCAGGTAAGAGGGATACGGAGCTGAAAACACTCCTACGTCCCTTCTAGGCCCACCAACGGGTTTGACAACCACTCTGGGCCGCCTTAAAAGTGAGGGGTGGAAAGGGATGGGCCCGCTAGTGGCCAATACCCCCACGCCATGGGCATCCCAACCCACGTTCGAGTCTCGACCGGACACAATCCATGGTTTTTCCTCGAAGAAAGGCAGAGAGCTCTCAGGACCAGTCGAACGGACCCGAGAACTATATGGATTTACCGCTGAGAGTCTAGACCAGTCAACAGCTGACCTAAGCCAGACCCCCATGAATGGAATGCCGGGGCCCCACTTGGACTAGCCTTTTAATAGCTCACTGAGCACCATGATTCATCCATAGAGGAAAATCATGGCATGGCTTAGCCCCTCTGTTTTTATCAAAAAAATACTTGAGGGAAGACGATCACAAAGAAGAGCCGACCCTCAACCGGACCCCTGCTACATGCGGGGGCTCGAGGAAAGTTGGACTCGCAAGGAGACCGAACGCACGGTCGCAGAATGATGGTAGGTCGTTCAGACCCCCATAGTCGTCGGAATCAGGAGATACCTTTTTCCGACCCACCGAATCTCACGGCTATACCCCTAAGAGGTTCAATCACGACGAAAGGGAATCGTTGTCCCACCAGGACACGCCATGGGCGACAAAATAGGGCCAAGGCCCTCAGAGTCCTCCTGTCCAGAAAAACCTCCGAAGAGTATTCCACTCCTCTGCAGGCTCGAGGGCTACACCCACTGGGTGCGCTCACGCGCAACCACTGGCGAGTAAAAAAATCCCTCGGGCGATTCTACCTGAATCACCCAGGGGCTCGAGGGCTACTATTGGGGACCAATACTAGGGTACCCGAAGAGGAGGAGCTAATGGTCATTAATATTGATTCACCCGAGCAGTCACGTGCGCGACTATGGCCTCTCCCAGCCCCCAGGCGCACAAGCTCCGCCTCACCCGACCCCTCAGGCGTGGCTCCCGACAGATGCCTGTATCATCGCCAACCAATACGGGACAGAAAGTGCAACCCAAGGTCAAACTTCTGGCACCGTGCAGGGAGCGGGCACATCTCGACGTGACCCATGCCTGCGACATGTCGCTCCAGGGAATTCACATCACCAATGATGATGGACGCGTAATCACTATGCTTGCCCTACTCCTCAGACGGCGTGACCGACCAGCCACCGTTCGCCAGCCCACCAGCCGAGACGGAATGGGGCGCCACGACCAGCCGATAACGCTGGGGGCGTGGCATCGCCAGAATGAACAGACGCGCCGGTGTGGAGCCATCCCAGTTACCATCTATAGTGTCAGCGGGACCCACATAAAGGAGGAGAAAGGCTCGGTGGTACTGGAAGCCTTCCTCTACTTGGCTCTTGTCCCCCTTTCTCTCTGTAACCTGCTCTTCCACTTCGTCCATAAAAGGGGAAGCAGGATGCCCCGTGAAGGGCACAACTGTATACGACTACACAGCGGTAGACATAAAACACACATCCTAACACGTCTTAGTAGCACACGCACACATCAGAGATTTGGGACCTGTCCCTCTCTCACTCGTTTGTAACCCCTACTACAAACCTTCAGTGCTAGTAACACGAGCAGCAGCGACGAACTGGACACAGGGACTTTCTGCCCGAACTAGTATAAACCTCATGTCCTCTAAGCACACCATCCAAGCCAGACGCATAATTTAGAAATTTACTAGTTGGTAGCTTGAAACACCAACAGTATCCGACTTTGTAGATCGGTTCTGTCTCATTAAGACATTTGTTCCTATCTTCTCCACCCCAGTTGCTAGCCCTGAAAAACATATATGCATACGTATCACTTTCATGTTTGATGGAGATGGTGTTCTACTATGTCATTGTTTGTGTTAACACAAGATGCAAGGGTATTGCTCTCCTCTCACTCACCATGAATGTGTAGGTATGATCCTGCAAAGAAGATTCTAGTCTTGTTCTTGTCAATATTCTCTCCAAGCCATTCAGTCAGTTTCTTGAGAGCTATCTCGAAACCATATATCATTTCCACTGCGTTTAACCTTGCATCACCATCCTCAAATGAACCATACCTGCCCATACAAAATATGCTCCTCGTATTCATTGCCTTCAAAAACTTCTCTTTGCTTGTATTTGATAAGTTTTGAACTTTTCTTTTTTACATAATGGATAAGTTTTCAACTGTTTCAGAGTGGCAATGTGAAGATGAGGTTGTGTGACCTTACATAACCTTACTTAGATATGAGTAGGAAGTAAAGGAATGAACTTACATAACCTTTTTTTTGACCCAAAAATACAACTCGGGAGACCCCCACTGTAAGAGATTTTTATTAATTTTCAAAAAGAGGAAAAAACTATACAAAGTAAGGAGGGGCTAAAAGAACTAATCCACACAACCAGCAAGAGGGCAGGAGAAACTGCACTCTAGAGAAGCAGAAAGAACTAGGAGAGGGGGTCTAAATAGAGGAGAAAAGCATGTCGTTTTTCTTCACTAAGTCTAAAGGCTTGAAGTTTGGCTTCCTCATAAAAGGAGGTTTTCCAAGAGATAAAGGATGGGCGTCCTCTATCAAAGATGAAGTTATTTCTCTGCTTCCAAATATGCTAGGAGGCAATGATGAAGATCTCCATGAAGAAGGGGTTTTGAAGCTGTAGCTTTGCTTGCATCATCATTTGGAACAAAATCACTTGTAAGGTTCCAATGAACAGCAAGAGAACAAGTGGAAAGCCATCTCTTGTGTTAACACAAACAATTGTTTTTCCAAGAGATAAATGAATACGTAGGAATCTCCAGCAAGCCTGACTGAAAGAACAGCTAAAGAATAGGTGGAAAGCCGTCTCTTCAACATTGTTATTGCATAGGACACAATTGTAGTTGTTGCCTTCTAGCTTGTGTTTTTTCCTTTTGAGAATGTTCCTTGTATTTAGCCTATCCATGAGAAGAAGCCAAGCAAAAACTCTGAGTTTGTTGGAACTTACATAACCTTCATCCTCATGTCAGCCTTATGCTTCCTCCACCACACATAAGAATTAAAGATTATGATGTCAGCATCTCTCCAAGCGCTAGCATGCTTCTCAATCCTGTCTGCCCATATGATCTTGTACTCCAACCAGTGGATGGTAGGGCTGTCGCCATTGGACTCCAACAGCAGTGGTGACCAGTAGAAGTCTATGGTTGCATTGTATTCCTTTCCACTATCAGTCGATTCTGTGGCGACTTGATGGAGGAGGTGATGGACGATAATATTGCGGGCCTTGATGGAGTACTTGTTGACATATCCATCAAGGTGGCAAAAAATAGGAAGATAAAGAAGCTCCTCAATAGGAAGGTACCTGTAAAGAAAAAAATGTTCTAATGAAAGGGATATTATGGAATTGCAGAGGTCTGCGCGACCTTGCTAAACATACTTTTTTACATGATGTGGCCGAAGATAATAGACTTGATTTTATAGCTTTATCACAAAAATAGTTTCTCGACTCAGTGTCTAGAAAATTTCTGTGCGGGGGCTGATTTCGTTTGGCATTGGTTGTGTCCTTGGGGTATGTCCGGGGGATGCTAATGGGAATAAATCAAGATTGTTTTGAAGTAGAAAATATTGTTGATGGTGACTACCATATCAAGTTTGTATTAAGAAATAAGATAGATGGTTTTCGATGGGCCCTTTTGTCTGTATATGGAGCAGCACAAGAAGAGCAAAAAGAGAACTTTTTATCAGAGTTAGTATGAGCATGTATCAGTTGCGGGGATCTACCTTTCCTAGTAAGGGGGATTTCAATATAGTTAGGAACCCGTCGGAAAAAAAATCAAGATATAATACTAAGTGGCCAGTTCTCTTCAATGCGATTATTGAAACTTTGAATTTAAGGGAACTAGAGATGACGGGTAGAAAATTCACATGGGCTAATTATGCTGAAATTCCAACTTATGAAAAGTTAGACCGTATCTTGGTGACAACTGACTGGGAACAAAAATTTCCGTTAGCTACTGTCCAGGCTCTCACCCGAGAAATCTCCAATCACACACCACTTTTACTAGATGGAGGGGAACGATCTCACAGAGGCAACGTTAGGAATTTTAAATTTGAACTAGGGTGGCTAACAAGGGATGGTTTTTTTATCTGGTAAAAGAGGTTTGGGAGTCTGAGAATAGAGGTAGATCACCCATGGAACGGTGGCAAAATAAGATTAGAAGGCTGCGACGTTTTCTTAGAGGTTGGGCTAAAAATATGGTTTCCCAAAACAAGAAACATAAATTAGACCTGATGGCTAAGATAGATATCTTTGATAGAAAGGCAGAAACAAGTTTGTTGTCACCTCAGGAGGTGGAGCTTAGACATCATCTTAAAGGGCAATTAACTAAGTTGCTGAGAGAAGAGGAGATCTTTTGGCTCCAGCGATCAAAAGCAACAAAGTTATTGCAAGGGGATGATAATACTAAGTATTTTCATCTGGTGGCAAATGGGAGACATAGAAAAACAAAAATCATACAGCTAGAACAGGAAGAAGGAATTATTGTTGGGGATGCGAATTTGAAAGACTATACAACTTAATATTATAAACGACTGTTTGGACCTCATATACAGAATTCTTTCTCAATGGACGAAACTTTGAGGCATGACATACCTCAAGTGTCGGAGGAGTTGAATGAAGTATTGGTGGCTCCATTCAGCGAGGAGGAGGTCAAAATGGCAGTCTTCGATATGGAACAAAACAAGGCACCTGACACAGATGGCTTTCCTGTAGAATTTTACCAATTCTTTTGGGATGTTGTCAAGCAAGATTTGATGAACCTCTTTTATGAATTCCATGCAGGGAGACTGCCCATTCATAGTTTAAACTTTGGGGTAATTACACTATTACCCAAGATCACTTACGCGATCCGGATACAACAATATAGGCCTATTTGTCTCTTAAATGTGTCTTTTAAGATTTTTACAAAGGTGCTAAACAATAGAATTTTGAAAGTGGCAGATAAACTGATAGGTCCATCTCAGACGGCTTTCATTCCGGGGCGCTATATAATGGAAGGAGTTGTTACACTACTTGAAACAATACATGAGTTGTATAGGAAAAAACAAGATGGAGTGATCTTAAAACTAGACTTTGAAAAAGCGTATGATAAACTAAAGTGGCCTTTTATATAATGAGTCATCAGAATGAAAGGATCTCACCAGTTTGGTGTGAATGGATTTCAAAAGTCATGACTAGAGGGAGTGTTGTAGTAAAGGTCAATGATAATTTAGGCCATTACTTCCAAACAAGAAAAGGAGTGCGCCAAGGGGATCTGCTATCTCCAATCTTGTTTAATATAGTGGTTGACATGCTGACAATTCTGATTTCACGAGCAAAAGAGGCCGAACAAATCCAAGGAGTGGTTCCGCATTTGGTAGATGAAGGACTCTCAGTCCTTGAGTACATGGATGACACTATTATCTTTATGGACAATGATCTAGAGAGGGCCAAAAACATGAAGCTCCTGCTTTGTGCTTTTGAACAACTATCAGGACTCAAGATTAATTTCCATAAGAGTGAATTGTTTTGTTATGGAGCAGCCAAAAATAATCAAAATGAATATGCACAAATTTTTGGGTGTAATGCAGGATCATTCCCGTTTAGATACCTAGGAATTCCTATGCACCATAGAGAGCTCATGAATAAGGACTGGAAACATGTTGAAGAAAGATTTTAAAAGAGATTGAGTGGTTGGAGGAGTAAGATGTTGTCGGTAGGAGGGAGACTGGTTGTCATTCACTCGGTTCTAAGTAGTCTTCCCATGTTCATGATGTCTTTTTTTGAAATACCTAGAGGGGTTTTGAAGAAGTTGGATTATTTTAGATCTTGGTTTTTTCGGCAGAGTGATGAACACAAGAAAAAATATAGACCGACAAAGTGGGAGGTAGTATGAACACCTAAAGACCAAGGACGATTGGGAGTCCTAAATCTAGATGTTCATAATAAGTGCCTCCTAAGCAAGTGGCTTTTCAAATTGTTAAATGGAGATGGGGTTTCGCAACAATTGCTTAAGAATAAATATTTAAGGGATAAAACTTTGACACAGGTTCAATACAAGCCCAGGGACTCTCAGTTTTGGACTGGCCTCATGAAGGTCAAGGATGAGTTCCTTTCGATGGGTAGGTTTGATCTAGGTGATGGGTCCCAGGTGCGTTTTTGGGAGGATTCGTGGATAACGCCACGCCCATTGAAAACGCTCTTCCCGGCACTATATAACATTGTGAGAAAGAAAAATACGTCTGTTAGGAATGTACTGTCTATGACACTGTTAAATGTAGCTTTCAAGAGATATCTTATGAGCGTTAATTTGCAAGCGTGGCACAATGTGGTGGCCATGGTTGCAGATGTACATCTAAGAAATCAGAGAGATCGCTTTGTGTGGGGGCTGCATCAGAATGAGTTGTTCTCAGTCAATTCCATGTACAGAGCTTTGTTAGGTGTACAGGCTTTACCATATAACACTTTAATTTAGAAACTTAAACTACCTCTCAAAATTAAAGTCTTTATATGGTACTACAAGGATGTAATTTTAACGAAAGATAATTTAGCTATGCAGCAGTGACAAGGAGATAGGAAGTGTTGTTTTTGTTCCTCCAACGAGTCCACACAACATCTATTCTTTGACTGTCATTATGCCAAATTCTTGTGGAGAATTGTTCATGTTTCTTTTAACCTAAAACCTTCAAATAGTGTACACAATTTGTTTACAAGTTGGTTGGAAGGGTTAAACAGGAAAATAAAATCTCAAATTCTTGTGGGTGCAAGTGCTATTTGCTGGGAGCTTTGGTTAACCCAGAATGATATTGTGTTTGACAAGGCCCTAGCACCATCTTATTTGCAGGTTATCTTCAAGAGGACTTATTGGACTAGGTACTGGTCCCTACTTCAGAAGGAGGAGGATCGCCATAAGATGAAGATGGGTTGCAGAACTATTGAGACAGCCGCGATGGAGGTGTTCGCAAGACACGGCTGAAGTTTTAGCAACAGAATTGCTCTTTAGTTTTTCCTTCTGAAAACTTTGTTGTCTTTATGGCTCAAAACTTTGTTTTTGAGATTCCCTGGACCGTTTTATGCCTACTTGTAATAATGAACAGCCATATGCATTAGTCGATGCAGAAGCTGGGATATTAATATATTCCCTTTTCTAAAAATGATAAATTAATAGTGTTTATAATATGCTAATCGAAATTGTTGATTTCTGTAACCTGTAGGTTTATCAAGGAAAACATACTGATGCCTTGAAGGAAAGGAGTGAGCCATTGATGCTGTGCATCTTGTGCCTAGCATCAGGTATAGAGGACTCCACCATGCACACCAGGGAAACCCATTGGTTCCTATTGAGAGAGTCACCCACGAACACCAACCTGTTGTTCCTCAGCTTTTCAAGTAGCCTGATGGCATCAAATCTGTTCAAACCCAAATCCAGGTGATGTGTCATAAATACCATGCATCATATCCTTTTTTTTCAAAACTTTGGACGCACTCTTTAATTTGGTCAACGACTGGATTTTATGCTTGATTTGATCCCCTTTCTAGCTTTCCAGGGTTACCAAATGTAATTAATCATAAAATAAGAAGAGATGTAGTTTTCCTCGTCTTTGGTATTTCACTGCCAATTAGTATCCTTATGTGATGGCCAGCTAAAGTATGTTCATGGCAGTTGGTTTCTGGTTGGCCACCCAGCTATCCACCGCAATTAGATAAAACTTCCAATCTTAACTAGCACAGATTTTTTTTGAAAGAAATAACCATTACAGATTTTTTCCCTCTGCAATACTATCCTTTGTTTTCTGTTCCAGTTATAGAGCATCTGAATGTTTCTCTGCTTCAACAAAAAAAAAGGTTACTATTTAAAAATCCTGACACTGACACAGCTTCTCTAGTTCTGCAACTTTATATTTGGTGGAACTTTTGGATTCAGAAGAACAAAATTGAGCTACAAATACCCCAACTCTACTAGGAAAGTTTATGATTATCATACCTTGGAAGGTCGCATCCATGAGGCTGCCATCTCCACTGCTGGTACATGACATCCTTCCTGCCATATTTGTCACAAGCAACCTCGGGGAACATGAAGGTGCACTTGAGTCCAGAGTACAATGGCCGGGACACGTTGTCGTAGACCCACCGTCCTGTGGACCAATTGCACTCCTCCCTGCCGGCGTCTGGGACTGGGAGCTTTCCTCTCAGTTGTTCATGGTGCTAAGCTGCCATCTTGGCCTGCATTTCTTGGTGTTCATGCTTGACCCCGATTGTCACATGTATTTCCTGGCCTTTGTAGAACAAGATGATAAAGCTGACAATGACAGAGAAGGCGATTAGGGTGTTGATGACGCCTCTCCTCAGTACTCCAACTTGAGAATTGAGATTCGTCATCTCTGTGTGTGTAGGTGGTGGTGGGGAGATTGGGCTATGCTTCTTCTTCAGAAAACCATGGTGCAGTGCATGGCTCCCTCTTTTATTGTGCACCTCCTTATATATTAACAATGGGAGCACCACTTTTGCACATGGGTAAGTGCTCAGATTTGTTTGTAATCAAGCAATGAGCTGAACACTAACCCTGGGAGGCAATTTCTGATTGTTTAGTATGTAGAGGTGCAGAAACCTATACCATCACGTGACATTTTTCTAATTAATTTAGTGTGAAATCCAATATTCGTTAATGGTTTAGTTCAGAGGAATGCATCTTTTTTAACATGATGATGGATAAAGTGTAAAGTTTAGTGGGAGATCATATACAAATCACCATATTCTAGCATGCATCAAACTGGTTTCGTTGTGAATCTTAGATGATGCCCTCTTAGGTGCTAAATAGTTGTCCTGTTACAGCATATGGCTAGATCATTGACTCCAAAGACCAAATACAGGGTTTGATGGTGCTGCTTGCTGTGCTTGATTTTGCTATATATAATATCCTGTCAAAACCATTGGGGTCTATTTCTCTTGGAGGTGCAGTGCATGGTCTGGCTTGGTTGCAGAGTTCTACTTGTATTAATTTGTTGGCAACATTTTATCATTTTTTTTGTTTCTTTTCTGGCAGGCAAATTAACTCTGTGAAGAATAGATGACGGGGGAACCTTAAGATGAGTGGATGCGCACACAGTAGCAAACAGCAGTTGCTAACTTGGATGGATTATTGGTACCTCATAACAGTTAACCTAATGCTTGCTGCTCCACATGGCTCCCTACTTCCTGGAAGTCCAAGGAGAGTCAGTCCAACGGCTATGGAGATTTACAATACTGCAGGTATGTTCTTGTCACCTTGTCTGAGATATATATAGAGCCATGTGCATTGAGAATAATCAAGTGCGCTTCAGGAAGCTGCAAAGGCAAGTAGTGGTTGTACACTTTCTGGTAACGAAGAATGAACTCTGATGATGCCAAATATAATATGCATTGAATACATCTATCGCCCTGGACTGTAGTGTACTTCATTTTTTATTTTTATGGCACTTGTTCCCCATATTCTCCGTGTATATTGCCGTTGCTAACTAAAGAGTGATCTCTCTCATGAATAAACGATACATTTGCAATTCTCCTCTGAGAAAAAGAAACGGCTGGCATTCGCAAATAATCACAATTCGAGTGAGCACATGCACACTACACACAATCTAATGTTCCTGGAATCTCTTCTATTAATCATTAAAGTAACTATAAAAAACTGTTAATACTAACTTGCACCCACCTAGCCCAAATTTGACTGAATTTTACATATGGGTTCTTCACTTCATTTAATTACAAGTGCTTAAACAGAACCTTAAGTATCAACATGTGGGTTGCAAGGCAGTTGTTATCATAGAACTAATAGTGTTGCAGGTACATCAGTCACCACAGTGCAACCACACCTTTGTCAAATCTGTTCACCGCTGAGCATCTTCGTCAGAACCTTTTACCCATGTGACGAAAGTATGGCCTTGGAACTTCCATGCGGTTGTTGTAATATCTGAAGGCATAATGCGATCTATACATCCAACACTTTTGCATATTGACCGATCAAATTTGCTGCATTCATCTCCTTCCTTGCTTTAGTCTGCAAAATGACAATATTAATACGGCTCATCGTAGCTAGAATGCAAGGATTTTGTAGTCAACAGTGTAACTCCAGTGGGAGTAATATGAGATTTGTGTGGTCAAAGGTTAGAGTAGTGTTGTTTCCAAAGAAAATTCATTGAGTTTGTAAATTGATTGGTTATTAAAATAAAAAGGATATACATTAGTTAAGAGTATCGATCCACCACAGACCAGTTTAAAAGAGTGTGCAATAGATGATAAAATTTGAACCTTTATGGTTGTATTTCTCAAGGCTTTGTCCATCTCCTCGAACACATCCTTTATGGTGGGGCGCCCTACACTTGAACTCGCAACGCAAAGGACTGCGATTTTCAGTATTAACACGAAATCTTCTATGATAACATCATCCCTAACACGTGGATCTATGAATTCCTCCAGTGGCTTTTTCCCACTCACTACATCCTTGGCCTTCAGACAAAAAAAAAATGAAAACTTAATATTGTCAAATATTTAATGGAAATAGGAAATGTGTTGATAATACAAGGGATCATAATACCGTCAACATAACCGGGTCTTGCTCAGTAAACATGAACAAAGGAAGAAGAAAAAAACAGATGTTGCTTCTGAAGTTGTAGAATCATTTCCACATGCTTGGCATATATACCATCTGAGAAATAAAAGATCATATATGTTTACCTTCTTGGTAAGTGAATCACGCGCAACAATGTCAAGTTCTATGACCTTCCTTCCTGACAGAAGCTGCAGAACGACAACACCAAAACTATATATGTCACTGGCGCAAGTGAGCTTGGAGTGTGTGATGTACTCGGGATCCATGTACCCAATGGTTCCCCTCACATCTGTGAACACCTTGGTCTCCTCCATTTCTAGCATTTTTGCCAGCCCGAAATCCGCCAGCTTTGGCGCCTTGTTCTCTGTCAGCAAGATGTTTGTGAGCTGCAACAATTCCAATAGCAATAGCACGTTATGGTTCAGAAGCAACCTCAGTTTGTTATGCCTGCAAATTTCAACCAGCATTATTTCACCTTGATGTCTCTATGGACAATGCATCCATCAGGGTGTGTGTGAAGAAAAACCTCAGGACAGATGCACAATCCTCAGGATCTTCACTCTTGTTTCCCATGGTAGCACAGAGTCAGTTCCTGCATACCAATCATCATGAACAGAACATTGTTGTATGAGTTAGTTTCAGAATGAACCGATTGAGAGCGCTATACTAGATGATAACCTAATATATCTATTTCCCTTACTCAGTAGGTTCTGGGCAAGGTTTCCATTGGCACAGTACTCATACACCAGGTACTGATCTCCCTCCTCATCACAGTAGCCGAAGAGGCACACCAGGTTGGGGTGCCTCACCTTGGATAGCTGCTCCACCTCCCTCATGAAGGATCCCGACATCGCCGTCTTGTGGATGTGCTTTATCGCGACAAGCTGGCCACTGGGTAGCACCCCCTGGTACACCAGACCTGCGCTACCGGAGCCGAGGTAGATCCTGCTGCTCGCGTAGTTGATCGCCCTCTCGATCTCCTCCTTGGTGAATTTGTACAAGCCTGACCACTTGCTGTTCACCTCCCCTTTATGTACCCTGTAGTTGCCTTGTGATGATTCTATAGTGGTTTCATTTTCTTTCTTCTTGTTCCTCAGGTATTTGGTGATCGCGATGGCGATGCCGACTACTAGGAACGCAAAAACTATCAGGACTGCAAATGTGCTACCTGAAATATAATTTGTGAACACGTAATGTATAGTGAAGACTTTTTAATGTCGATGAATGTTGTTGAGGTGCGCAGCGTGGATGCATAAAACAAGGGCTTGGATCGACTTACGTCTGACCTTGATATATTCACCATCTGCAAGGTTAAGAGAGATTTCATTACATTCAAACTCAATGTGCAAGTTTGGGACAGTTGATCACAACTACAAAACATCATTTATTTGATGCCTGAAAGAGTATTCAATAGTATTCGATAATTAAGTGAACCGTAGCGAACCTGCCACAAAATCACAATCAGCCTTGCAGCCAAGTACAGCCATCACCAAAACCAGAATCAGCCGAAACAACCCTCTCTCCATGCTTTTCTCTTTGAAGCTTCCAAATCGATCGAGTTACAGAGGTCCAAAGAACTCTCTGCCATGGCCCCTATAACCAACCTTTTATTTGCCCCTCTTCCTTAGCAAACTTCGCTGGATATTCTCCTCAGTAGCATCTGGCACATCAATACTTTAATGGTGTCTTGTGTGTATCGCTCTTGGCGTTTTTGTATTATATTTGATTGATAATGTGTCGAAGAGAAGAGGAATTATGCTAGTATATAACAGCTATATGTCTCTTTCAGTCACATAGTTTTCATCGCTTGTTTCGTCTGTTGTAAGAGGTAAAGAAGCTGTAGGTTTCATGTTCTCTGTTGTTTAATTGGACTAACTTTTATGGGTTGCAGCACAAACTGCCTGATTGGGACGTACAGGGAGTTTTGATTGGGTTCTGACGTTGTTACGCATGCTCAGTTTTTTACTTTTTTACTGGTGCCCAGTGGCCAGTGACATCGTGTTAACACAAAAAATGAGGACTGAGCGCCCTTAAAATTGATGGTACTTCAATATTTTTTGGACATTCAGGTTAAGCAGGAGAAAGGTGGGATTCTCTATTGTCACAAAGACGTTATGCAATTGATCTGCTCAAGAAAGCAACACGGAAAAGTGCAAAGCAATTTCTGCTCCCATGATGATTCAACTGAAAATTATTCACAAACGGAACAACTCTGTTAGAACAATTCAAGCAAAGAAGCATTATAGTTGGTGGCTTAGAGCCTTAGATCAATGCAAAGGGGAAGAAAAAATAATTAGTGAGAAGAGAGGAGAATGAACTTATGCACGTCTGTGTGAGCTGTTTTTGCATGTACGTGTTAATAGACATCCCCCTAATCACTGTAATAAAAAAAAGTAGCAAATGGCCCACATGCCAGGAAGAGGGCGCGTGTGCGTGCTACTTACTAAATTATAAGAAGTTATTATCACTTTTCTAGATATATTATTTTTGTTATACATCTAGATTTATATTATACTAGGTAAGTGTCTGTGCGTTGCACCGGGAGTTAAA